TTTCTGTGTAAGTCTATGAACTCTTCAATCCCAGGCCCCATTTTCCTTAGACTATGAGACCCAATACTGGTTTATTTTTTCTTATGAGGATGATTACTTTCCTGGTAAGATCATGCAATGAAGCTGTAAGGGTCTAGTTGCCATACTTAAAGTCAAAATAAATAAAAACTGTACATGGTCTTTAAAAAGCCTGTGTAACTATCTATTGACTAGTTAGTAAAGATGTATCTAGCCTGAGAATCAGCAGCATTGACTTTTTAGGGAAGCCTTTAGAAATTGAAGAGACTCAAGTACCATTTCAGACTTACTGAATTTGTATTCTCATTCATTTTAATACGATTCCCACAGTTAACATGTATGTACATTGGATAGAATCTGTTGCAGAATTTCCTGAATGATAAACCATTGCCACCCAAGATGAAACATGACTCCAAACTTTAGGACATATTTTTCTGAACTTCCTTATTACCCATAATGTCATTATTACAAACTGTTCTAAATGAGTTTTTCACTGACATATGTGATCTATGATGCAGCCTATAATTACTTAGATATAATATAGCATCTCTAAGATTTCAGCAGCCATTTGATTGAAAGGTAATGCTTTTGAAAAGAGTTTCTGTAACCAAAGGTGTAAATCTGAAAGGAGATTGGGATTGAAAGCTCTCAGTTTATTTTCCAGGCAGTTCTTAGAAGTATTTCATCTGCCTTTATAAGCAAGCTCTTCCTGTGTGGGTTCTATGTGTTTCTGAACTTTCCTCAAATTTGTGAGAACCCTGTGTCATGGAGAGAAGACCAAATATCACCAGAGTCATGTGTTTTAGTGTGGGTGCTGTAGGTTTGTTTAACATTTCTCATTCTTAGGGTTTTTATATAATAAGTGCCTGGAGGGCTTATTAAAAGCATTCTTGGACTCCACCCTCAGATTCTGTGAGTCAGAGAATTTGAATTTCCAGCAAGCCCTCCAGCTGAAGCCCATGTTGATGGTCTGTAAACATTCTGAATAGTACAGCAACTAACCATCCCAATATAGCATTTCCTCTAGCCTGATTATTCTCTAAGTTCTACTGGAACTTAATTGCCTCCTCCAAATGGCCATTTCCCTTCTCCCATACACTCTATTCCCAAAGCAAATGGAGAAATGGCCAATGTGACCCTCCTGTCTGCCAGAATGGATTGATCTCTTTCTCTGAAGGTCTTGGGGCTTACATGCCATTCTGACCAGGTAATTTTGATCATGGAAGATAAAAAAGGTTTCTTTATGCAATTTCCTTTTAATATCCTGGAGGCTGAGTGAAAACATCAGTAGCAAAACCCAATGAGCAGATTCTTGCCTGATTTGTTGCTCTCAACTTGATTCCTTTGTTAGAACTTAAAGTAGAAAATAACATGAGTAACAAATGTCAAACTTTAATCTTGTGTACTCTTTCTTCCAGCTGCGTTCTTAACTGTGCTGTACAACTTGTTCTACTCCACTGAGAGTTCACTGACATAGATGGAAGATTACTGAATATTCACTAGTGAGGTAAATGTTTTCCACTCTATACCCTCAGAGACTGTACAGGACGTTCCTTATTGCCTCTTGATATTCTGGCGAATAGAATCCTAAGGCAAAATGCCTGGGTCCTATGTCCAGTCCAGCTTTGAAGACTTTGAACTGGTTTGATGCCCCTTTCTGGCTCTTTGTTTTTCTCTGTGCATTAAGAGTCTAATCCTGAGATGAGGAGTGAGATTTCTTGTCTGAAATAGACAGATAGGAGATTGCGTTCAGAGTGCCCTATTTGTAGGCTGTGTTACATGTATCAGGACAACAAGTTGCCTTAGCTTCATTATCATGGTCAGCAGCAAAATAGGCAGTTAAAACCTTTCTTTGCATGAAAGAAGCTGAAAAGCTAAGGCTCATTCTGTGTAAGATAGAGGCTAGTGTCTTCATTCCTTCTCTATTTCTGTGAAGAGAAACCATGACAAAGGCAACTTAAAAAGGAAAACATTTACTGAGGCTTATGGTTCCAGAGGATTAAAGTCCATGACCATTATGGCAGAGAGCATGGCAACAGGCAGGCATGATGCTGCAGCATTAGCTGAGAGCTATATCCTCATCTACCAGCAGGAGGCAAAGAAACAACAGAGAGAGGGGTGAATGGAGGGATGGATGGATAGAGGGAGGGAGGGAGGGAGAGGGGGAGAGAAAGAGAGAGAGAGAGCTCTACAAGATTTCTGAGTTCAAGGGAAGCTGAAACTCAAATTATATTTCCTGCCTACACGAGACAACAAATTCTATGAAATGTTGTCAGCTATTTTAAATTCCTGTTCATATTGATTTTTTCCTGAATGTACAAATTTGACTCCTAAGCTACAATAAACTGAGTAAGGCACTAAAATGTTAACTTATTGATAACCACTTACTGCTTTGGATTTTTGTTGTTTTGTAGGCTTTTGATTAAGCTCCCCAGATTGGTTTTATTTGTAGTTAAGTAATAAATAATGATTCAACAACATGTTTTAATATTCACTGAAATACAACTCAGAGCTTTGTTTCAAGCTTAGTGGAGAAGTGAACCTAGATGTGTATAGACTGTATGGGATTCTGTTCTCTCACAATTATCTTAAAATTAATGAATTGAAGCCTTGCATATCAACGATGCTGGGTACTAATCAGTGGCGTGTCTAATTTGAGGAAAATAGAGAATTTACACCAGTAGCTGAACAACAATGAATAAATAGAATGAACTGCATTGCGTCTCCATTTCAGACACTGCTATTTGTCTCTGGAGATAATGTTGAATCATTTTCCCCAAAAAACACTTACAGCAAAAGGATAGTAAGAATGAGGCAGAAGATGAATTCCAAAACAAAACAAAACAAACAACCTGAACTATCCAAAAGCAAACTGTGCTTCCTCCATCCCTGCTCTCCTTCTTGTCCTGCACTCACTGCTCTGGGGCTCTGAAGGAGAACTTACACAAAATGTGCAAGTAAATAATACAAAGACCTCCAGATAATGTGGAGAAATCACATTAAAACCAAAAAGCTCTTTGTAAAGGAATAGCTCAAGCCTCAGGTTCCTTGCTTCTCCTAAAGTCCTTGGCTAATAAAATGAACAAACACCAGCCTTAACAGGTCCTATTAGAAATGTCAGGCCAAGGCCCAACTAATACACATTTTACCTACTGGAAATATCTAAATGTTTTAACCAGACCCATTATTATATGGATTGTATTGTGGGCATTGGGGGTTGCCGAATTTGCAGAAGTTTCTAAAAACATCCCCACTAAAAATAAAATTTGAATCCTAGGGCTCAGCAGAGAGTGGGACTCCTACACTGAGAAGTACTTCAAGTTATTTTTAAAATTTTATTTAATTAACATTTTTCCATTTATTTTACATACAAACCAGTTTCCCCTCCCTGCTCTCCTCCGCCCCCCTCCCCCACTCCCATCTACTTCTCTCATAATCCAGTCATCCTCCATCTCCATTCAGAAAGGGGCAAGCCTCCCATAGGCTTGAACAAAGCATGGCTCATCAAGTTGAGGCAGGACCAAGCTCCTCCCCCTGCATCAAGGATGGAGGAGGTAATACAGCATGGGGAACAGGTTCGCAAAAGCCAGCTGAGTACCAGGGACAGGTCCTGATCTCACTGCTAGGAGCCTTACAAACAGACTAAGCTACACAATTGTCAGACACATTCAGAGGGCCTAGATCAGTCCCATGCAGAATCCCTAACTGTTGGTCCAGAGTCCATAAGCTCCCAGGAGCTCAGATCAGCTGTCTCTGTGCGTTTCCCCATCATGGCCTTGACCCTCCCTGGCACATACAATCCCTCCTCCCTTTCTTCAGGAGGACTCACAGAACTCTGCCCAGTGCTTGGCTGTGGCTCTCTGCATCTGCTTCCATCAGTTACTGGATGAAGGTTCTATGATGACAATTAGGGTAGTCACCAATCTGATCCCAGGGGATGGCCAGTTCAGGCACCCTCTGCACTATTGCTAAACGTCTTAGCTGGGACCGTAACTGTGGCACCAGGTTTCTCCCTAATCCTGAAATGGTCCTCCTTATCAAGACTTTTTTTGTTAGTCTCCCTCTCCATCCAGTTCCCAGCTCCCTCAAGTTCCCATCCCCTCACCTCCACCCCTGCTTCCAGTTTACCCAGGAGATCTCTTTTGTTTCCCCTTCCCAGGAAAATCCATGCATCCCTCTTTAGGTCTTCTTCACTGCTGGTGGGAGTGCAAACTTGTACAGTCACTTTGGAAATTAATATGGCAGTTTTTCAGAAAAATGGGAATGAATCTACTTCATGACCCAGCTGTACCGATCTTGGGCATATACCCAAAGGATGCTCAATCATACGACAAGGTCATTTGCTTGACTATGTTCACAGCAGCTTTATTTGCAATAGCCAGAACCTGGAAATAACTAGGATGCCCTTCAACCAAAGAATGGATAAGAAAAATGTGGTACCTTTACACAATGGAGTATTACTCAGTTGTAAAAAAAAAAAAAACAATGACATCATGAAATTTGCAGGCAAATGGATGGAACTAGAAAGACTCATCCTGAGTGAGGTAACCCAGGTCCAGAAAGACAAACATGGTATGTACTCACTCATGAGTGAATATTAGGAGTAAAGTATAGGATAAACAACCTACAATCCACAGCCCCAGAGAGGCTAGATAATAGAGTACTTCAAGATCTTAATTACTCAAGTTTGTATGTCACCTGGCTTGGGTGTGTCTCTGTCTTCAACCCATCTAACCTGGTTGTAAGATAGCTACTATTGTGTTTATCTGGTGTTGAAAGACTTGGAATCTATGTTACTACAGAAGTACTCAATTCCATGTGGTAACTATACTCCTTTATAAATATCCTGAAACAAGCCAGGAACTCTTTTATGACAATTATCATCTTCCTTATCTCATATTCTTTTGTTTGGGTATGAAGTCTTCCTCATAAAAGCCTGGATAGTATCAAAGTACTTAGTGTCACTTTGTCCAAGATTGTATACTTTTATTTTGGTGCTATTTTACTATTTCTGGATCTATGATTATCTTTTTTGTTTTTGGGATAGGGTCTCATTATGTATCCTTGGATGGCCCAGAATTTACCATGTAGATCAGGCTGGCCTCACTCACAGAGATCCATCTGCCTCTATATCCTGAGTGCTGGAATTAAAGGTGTGTGCCACCATGGCTAGCTTTATGATTCTTATTGTTCTTTAAAACTCTCTATCAGCTGACCTCTCATTTCTTAAGGTTTTATACCCATCCTTCAAACAAACCCACATCTTCTTCTTTGTACCTACACAATCTGATATAGTGGGTCAGCTGGCAACTAAGATGTACTTATTGATAGCTAGTTGATTAAATAATTAGACTCCTTTCTGTGGGCCATACTTTGGGTTTTCATTAATGCTTGTTTTGATAGTGCCTCTAGGCTTGTAACTCCAAAGTGTAGCTGGAGTTTTCCTTCCTTGCCCACAGTCAGGACAAATCTTTGTCACCTGCCAGTCCCACAGCCGCTCAGACCCAACCAAGTAAATACAGAGACTTATATTGCATACAAACTGTATGGCAGTGGCAGGCTTCTTGCTGTTCTTTTATCTTAAATTAACCCATTTTTATAAATCTATACTTTGCCACGTTGTTGGTGGCTTACCGGTGTCTTTACATGCTGCTTGTCCTGGTGGTGGCTGCAGTGTCTCTCCCCGCTTCTTCCTGTTTCCCCAATTCTTCTCTCTCCTTGTCCCGCCTATACTTCCTGTCTGGTCACTGGCCATCAGTGTTTTATTTATATAGAACGATATTCACAGCACCAAAGAACCCCAGTGCTCATGTTTAAGGATAGCCCATCTTTCAGCGGATGGAGCCCAATACAAAATGGGCCACCTAGTGGTAGATTGTCTGAACTACAGAACCTGAACTTGATGGCAGTTTAATTACCATTCCCCTGTATTTTCTCTTCCTGTCTAACTGACCACACTCTTATGATCTTTATTAGGAGTTTACATCCATCTCCAGGAATTGAGCCCCCAAACTGTTGTAATAGAAAAACTATTAGACATCCATATATGTCTATAGACCATGAATAGACATTTGCTTTACCTTTGAACTCGCAGTGGATATTTCCCTCTGCTGTTCTACAAATATCAGACAGAACCATCCCAAGAATAAGAGTAAAGGAAATCTGAGTTACCTCATGCTCTCAAAATAACCACAAGTGATTTCCTCTTAAAATTTGAAGATGATGTGTATATGCAGAGATGTGAGACTGAGCAAAACAGTTTTCCTATCTCTTCTCAGTACCAGTGGCAGTATAAATTGGAAAGAAAATTACCAATGTTTGGTATAATTATATTAATAAAGGTATCTGTACAGACTGCTCTTTATTAATATCTACAATAGTATGCAGTAGGAAAAGTCTAGATAGAATAGTTATTTTATAGTATTAATATACAGAAGACTAGGTACTTACTAAAAATCATAAACTTAGAACACATTTGGGGAAAATACTATTTTTTTGAAAATGGAG